GGAATCGTCCCACCCAAATGAAGTTGCTTACCTTCAAACACCTTTAAGAGCTTATTAAGTCTAAAATTACTCTAGATGAGTATCTACCCAAAGAATATGAAAACCTAGTTCAAAAAGATATATGCACCCCTATATTTATTGCAGCATTATTTACAATGGCCAAATTATGGAAGTAACCCAAGTGTTCACTGATAGATGAATGAATAAAGAAGGAAGGAAGACAAACACACACACACACACACACACACACACACAGAGGAATATTACTCAGCCATCAAAAAGATTGAAATCTTGACATTTGCAACAACATCGATGGATCTGGAAGATATAATGCTAAGTGAAATAAGTCAGTCAGAGGAAGATAAATACCATATGAGTTCACTCATTTGTGGAATTTAACTCTATATTAACAAAGAAAATAAGAAACAAACAAAAAAACCCAGTCTTAACTATAGAGAACAATCTGATGGTCACCAGAGGGGAGGTCGGTCGGGGGTATGGGTGAAATAGGTGATGGGGATTAAGAATACACTCATCTTGACGAGCACTGAGTAACTGTATAGAATTGTTCGATGACTAGATTGTACACCCGAAACAAATAAAACACTGTGTGTTAACTATACTGGAATTGTAAAAAATAAATTAAAAAATAATAACTAATCAATAAATAAAGTTACTCTAGATGGAATAGTTTGAACAAAATCATGTTTATGAAGGAAAATTGAAAATGTCTCCTACCCTCCACTGAGAATTCCCACCTAGTTTTATTCTGTTGGTTCCTTATGTCAGATGTCCTAGAACTCACATTGCACCTGCTCTCTGCTCTGTAAAGGTCAGGTACCAGCCTTTGGCCAAGACCAACACAGGTGTGCCCCAGGGTCTTCATGACGCTTTCTGTTGATGCTGTTTCACAGGGACAGTGAGGGGTGTCCTTCAAGGGAGCTAGTTTGTAGAGTATACAGTCCAGACGAGGAGCTAGACAGCAGGATGTTTGTCATTGAAAACAGAGGCCCCTTTCAGCTACCATCATTCACTAAGTGAAGAAACATGAGAGCAAATTTTGATGGAGCAAGTGGGGATGGAACATGTTGGCGCTGGGAAGTGCTGTGTGAGATGTGTGCCAGTGAGCGCCAAAGATAACCGTCACTGCTCTGGAATTGTAATGGGTATGTCCTCTGGGCCAAGGAATTTCAAGGGGCCTTACAGGGCCAGGGACAAAGGTGAGACAGACTTCCCATGTCTGTGGCACAGCCCACTTTGCATCACATTCATGTAATGATCCCCGAGACCCAAACAATGGTGGTGTGTGCAGTGTCCACCGCTGGGGGAGGAGCATTAGAAGTTTCTTCACCATCCTCATCGAGAGGACTGTTGGCTGCAATCTTGGGCCCTCTGAGGAAGATGTTGGGTATGGAGCAGATGCCCCTCCAGCTATTTGGCAATCTGTGTGATTCCTGAGATGGCACAGCGCATAGTTTGAACCGCACTAGGGGGCAGGATGGTTGGAGATCACAGGGCCCAGCAGAGAAGCCCGGCCAAGCTGACTTCCCCTGATCCCAACCAAACTGATGGCCAGAAGTCCAAGGATGGGTTGTGGTGTCTCCTTTCTCTGGGGACCCATCACAGCTTCCCTTGAGGCTCTGACGTGGGGTTGGTTAATCTGAAACCTGTTCTCTGGAAGACCTCTTAACTTCTTTGGAAGTGGCAGTTGCAGACCTACTCAGCCCATTTTTCTTACCTGTTACTCATATGACCTCTAGTGGCTAGAACCGGTAAAACTTGCTCCAGGGATGGGTGGTTTGGGCTGGAATATTAAGAATTAAAAAAAAAAAAGAATAAGCAGGAAAATGTCTTTTAATGTTCAATACTTGACTACTTCTCTATATTAACCCTTTGCCCTCTTTATGATTCTCTTTCAGCACACAGCCCATCATCTAATTTAGCCATAATCAACACAATTTGGGTTCCAGACCAGACTCAACTCTGATTTTATTCTAGCTAACGTTAACTTGGGCTGGCATTAGCCTCTGATCTAAACCATTCACAGATGTCATGGCATCGAACTTGACTACATCCCAGGGATGTTGTAAGGATCAAATGACACGAATTCTCTAAATAAAATGACACATAAATGTGCTTGCTATTACCACAAAGCCATTGGGTCTGTGATTCTGTAGACCAAGATTGCTTTATTTCATGACTTTGGTGAAAACATTTAACCTCTTTGCTCAGATTCTTTACTGGGAGTTTTGTCCCAATCCACAAGCATTTAACAAGTGGCTGCTACATAGGTCATTATGTACTTACTGGTTCATTCAACAAACATGAGTTCTTGCCTTGTGCCAAATACCCAGTGGGTGCTGGGATCCAGCAATGACGAGGACAGACAATATCCTGCTCTAATGGAGTTTACATTCAGATGAGTTAAGGGATTCATAATGGTTGAAATCATCCCTATCCTGGGTTGACATTATAGCTTAACGGAGAAGAAAAGCTTAAACAACCAGGTATGATACAAGTCAGTATGTGAAAAGGCTTTCACAGAAGTATAAACAAAGTGCCATGAGCCAGGGGTCCTACTGTGGTATGTGTGAAAGGGTGACGTTAGAGCAGTGAATATGGACTCTGCTTTCTAGAAGGTTAATGCTGGAGAGGGGACTGCTGGGAAATTATTTGGACACCTGTGTAGTCAGTTGGAAAATGATCAACCTGGCAATTTGGTGTCTAGTTCTAGTTCTAGAAGATTTGCAAAAACCTTATGCAGAATTTGCCCTTGAAATTGCTCATTCTCACTCGGTAGACATATTGTTCTTTCAGATTACAAATAGACAGTAACTAGATTCATTGGATGCTCACTGTTTTAAATATTAACTTTATAAATATTAACTTAGTCCTTATATCAACTGTGTGAGGTAGGTACCTCTAGCATCATACCCATTTTACAGATGAGGACACGTGAGACATAGAAACAGTAAGTAGCTTGCCCAAGATTTGGCTGCTAAGTAGTGGATTCAAACCCAAGTGGCTGGCTCCAGAGTTGCACGCTCACCACTATGCTGTGTAAGTTCTCAAGGCTTCATTTAAAAAGTCAATGGGAATTTCTAGAGGCACATACTAAGCATTCAGGGGTGATACTACCCAAGGTCTAGGGTTGTTTTAAAGTATTTCAGTATGAAAAGAGGAAGGAAGAATAGATGGAGAAGGCATGGTAAAATGTTGCTAACTATTTAATATTGTTGATGGGTCTGTAGTTATCATGATAGCATTCCCTGTTTCCATGATAAAAAATAGAATCCATTGCTAGTGAATCTGAGGACTTAGAAATATTTATTGCCTTACTGTCAATATCAAAAGACTTTTCATTAGTGATCTGGGTAATTTAGGTCAAGACAGTTGGTTTCACTAAGTTATGATGGAATGGTGAGTCTGCAGATAGAGTGCTCTGTATATTAAAAACCACTTTGCACCTAATTTGCCAAATATAATGGCCATATGCCTTTTTTTTAACCAATAAAGATTGATCCGCTTGCCAGAAATATTTGACAGAATAGCAAAATGTTTGAGTTAGAAGGGACTTCAAAGATAACTTCTTCCCAAATTCTCTTTCTATAACTAGGAAAGTTGAAGCTTAGAGATCTTAAGTGATCGGCCCAAGGTAAGAGTGGGAACATGAAATGGTTGTTTACGGTCAACACAGTGCTAGTGAATGGAAGTGCAAGAATTAAAACCTGGGTTTTCTGAACTCTAGGGGGTGGGGAGGGTACTCCTGTCAAAAGGAGCTATGCCCAGAAAAGAGCTGTAGCGGTCCACATGGAGGCGTGGTCCCCAGGCTCCACTTGTGACTGTGGCTACAGCAGTTGCCAAGTTAGAAGTCTAGGGAGGGAGAGGAAGAAACATGAGCCACCTTCCGCTTGGGAATGAAAGGGGTGAAATGGATCTGTCTCCTCCCCTGGTGGTTTCCAAACTTTTAGACTCGAATGGCCTTATTTATTTGTGTGTTTCCTCCACATTCCTTGTTCACACACCCTATCTGTGTCGCTCATGATGGGCATAGTTGGAAAAATCATGGCTTTTGCACCTGAAGATACTTCTCAGAGGTGCCTTTGGGGCTCTGGCAATGAAACCCACCCGGTGAAGTCAGGGCCAGAAGTCAGGGATGGGCATTTCCCAAGAGGGAAGAATGCAGACGGTCTTAATGAAAGTGTCTGGAGTCACCACGGCATCACAGTTGATCTGATGTCCTTATCCTGAGAATTCTTGTAGGGCACTTTCAAAGCTAAAAATCTCACCTTTCCCAAGTCTGGCGCAACGCCCTTCTACAACATCCAGCCTGCCTTGGTTGGTGTTCCGACCCTAAGGTCTGAGAGTCTCAAACCATATGCTCTCAGGACCCTGGCAGGTAAGGTCAAGAATGAAGCTGGCCAGTAGAAGACTGGGGTGACCTGGGAACAACAAGCCTGGTTCTCATTCAAATGTTTTGTAGTCCTGTCCATGCAGAAAGGCTGGGCAGGTCAGCTGCCCACTGGTGGCTTCTGATACAAGGAAAGAACCTGGTGAGGAAAGCAAGAGACCTGGAACCATGCCCAGCTCCCTGGGACCTCAGCACGACGTCCCCTTTGCAGAGCCTGTTTTCCTCAACTGTAAAACATGGGTTTCTAAGGCTTGGCAGCACCGCCACCTCTGACAGTCGAATTCTGGAATCTGTGGTAGAGGACACGTCCCCAGAACAACTGAAGCCCAGTGTCTGTCTAACATACATTTCCAGAGTGCCTGCAGGCCTTCTTGGTCTGACTGACTTTGTAGCACTGGTGTCCTTGAGGTCTTTGTTGGATGGGTTTGTGACATCATCTTTAACCTTTGGTCCCTGCAGTACGGTGACCCACACTTAACAACCATTCTGGTACCGCTCTCTGTCAGAGGTTGCTTTTTGCCAGTGTTCTTTCTGGAAGCAGTCATGAGCGGACAAGCTTAGAAAGGGTGTTCTCTTCGTGTTGTTTCAGGGAAAATAGAGAAAGTCAAACCTCCTCCATCCCCCTCACCTGAAGGCCCCAGCTCACAGCCTGACTTAGCCCCCGAAGAGGCTGCCGGATCCCAGCGGCCCAAGAATCTGATGCAGACCCTCATGGAAGACTATGAGACCCACAAATCTAAAAGGCGTGAGAGAATGGATGATAGTAGTGTAAGTTTTTCCTCCTTTCCTCTTTCACTTCTCTGAGGGTGAACGTCTGCGTGGCATGCGGTTATCTCCGTTCAGGCATGGGTGTGTATGCCGTTGTCTGGCCAGTGTCCTGGCTCCGAAACCAATTCTCAAATGTGTCCGTTTAATGTGCCTGGAGTTGGGTTTGGGGGTTTTGCCATGTTTCTCAAAAATATGGATGATGCAAGGAGTGGGTCCTTTTGCTGCCGAGTGTACTGGAACCCACCGGCGAGGCTGGTGCAGGGCATGATGTTTGGTGTGTAGAAAAAAAAAAAACAACAACACATCAGCACAACACAGGAGGAAGGACACAAGCACCCCCAAATCATCTCCGGGTACTCCCTGCTACCGTTGCTGGCCCCGCCCCGTAGAGGTTTTATTTCTCTAGAGAACTCTGGTGATGCTGTCCCTTTTACTGTCTACTCTGAGTGGTCCCCATAAATATGACACAGCGTGCAGAAGGCTGAATGGGTTTTGGGGTCTTACCAAGCGTGTGTGTACAGTTTGGCAGGAAAGAGCCATTTAAAATCACAGTTAGAAACCACAGGGATACCCTGCTACCCTCGGTTCTCAGCACCTTTGCACGTGACATTCACGTGAGCCGTGAAGGAAATCATCTGCTCTGGAGTTTCTTTCTCCAGTCAGAGACACAGTCTCTGTAGCCAGGAGCCCGGCGACCAGCCTCAGGGGCCCATGCCGACTTCCTGGGAGTCTGGTGGCCTCAGTCTCGTACCATGTATCGAAGTGGCCGTGGCCCACCCCCCAGTTTCAGCTAGGTCACAAATAGCTTGGGTCCATTGAAGACATTGCCCAGCTGACCTGGACAGTGCTGGCTTATGCCTGTGGTCCTGGTGTAGTTTTTAACAGCATCCCCTTTCACTTTTAAAAACTGCCCCAGTTTGGATAATAAATTATTGGGTCACCTTAAACTTGAATGCTACAGGCTCACAGTCGGAATCCCAAGTCTCCTTACTGCCTCGCATATCCTGGTTGGCTAAGTTCAAGGGTTTCGGGACCTGAAACCAGACACTGAACGGTGCTTTTAAAAAATATTTAGTGATAAAGAAGGTAGACACATCTATAGCAGCTGCTGACTCACTTGCTTCCCCCAGGCTCTCCCTTAGCTTACACCGAAGCTGCCTAGAACACTGCCTCAGCTGCTCTGTTCGGCTGGAGCATTCGGGGGCCATTCCTCCTACCGCACAGTGGATGGTGCCTGGCCCTCAGTCGCTGTTGCAGACAATTCTGCTGCTGGGGCTCCTTCCCCAAGCAGCAGAAGGTCACCTTAGCCAGCACTTCTTTGCAGCCCCACTGAAAATACAGAGTTTACTTTTAGGTATTTTCTGGAGCCTGTGCTTTTGAAGCTTAGTGCTGTAAGTGGCTTATTTTCTTTTCTCCCAGTGAGTCCACGCCATATATCAGCAGCTGTGGTAGAGGTTAGCTGAGGGGCCCCCTTGCATCCTCGCATGGAAGGGGAAGAATGAACGGAACCACTCTGCATGTGACCCTTGCAGGTGTTTTCTAAGCACAGTCTGCACATTGCCTATGTGTGCCTTTTGTGTCGAAGTGCAGATACTCCCCATGAAGGTGAAGAGCCCACTGCTACGCATTCCACACACAGAGGCTGAAAGCCACCTTAGTGCAAACTCAGGATGCAACCAGATTGGATTTCCCCTTTGTATTCAGGAATCTACTTGGAATCAACATTTCAATATGCTAATCATCCCTCACATACTCAACCAAGTGGGAGCTTCCCATCTCTATTTTTCTCAAGTAAATAAACATTTTGCATAAGGAAGAAACCTATTAACTAATCAGGCTGTTAATATCCCCAGACCTTGGATTCAAAGCCAGGTGTTTTGCACTGTTCTTGATATTACAAGAGAACCAAGTTTGTTGTAGGAAACTCTTAGGAACAGAGCAAAATCTATCCAATCCACTATATCCTCTTTTAAGAAACTCAAAACTTCAAAACCCTACTCGGATTGCTTCTAAAGCACATATGTGACCATCAACCAAACTTGATTTTAGAGCCACCTGTTCTTTCATCCCTTAGGCCTTTTAATTCAGGGTGTCCTTTCTACTGGATCTACATCAGTCACTGGAGAACGTGTTGAAGTTTCCCTGTAGGAATGAACAAACTTCATTTGTTTTCCTAGCCGATCTCTGTCCCCTTCTTTAATCATCTCTTCTACCAGGAGGATAATCATAGGGAGCCAATGGATTGTTGATGTTTGACTGCGTACCTGGCTTCCCTGCCCCGGAAGCTGGTAGTCCTGTTTTCCCGGTGCCGTTCACATACACTATTCTGAGGGTGAAACACGGCTTCTTAGCTCCTCCACCCTCCAGAAGCCTCACATGGCTCACCTGAGTCTGGTGTCACCTGATGCATCCACCTGCCAGCATTCTTTCCAGTGAGTCGCTTGGTCGCCCTCCGGGTCCCTCACACACGATCAGGACCAAACCCTGTGTTTGCTCATAGGAAGTGGCGAGTTCTTTCTGACTGGAATGAAAAGAATTCTTACTTGCTTGCTAAGGAGAAGGAAGACCTAAAAACAAAATGGGGCAGTTAGGATGTATGTGTAGTATTACAGTAGACACGTGGTCTTACTGAGCATGAAGGACAGAAGAAAGAGCAGACAGAGAAGTCAAGGGAAACCATGAGCTGTGCCTCTAGTTTTCACAAGTGGTTTTTGCCAACCCCCGAGAAAGACATCCTTGCCATTCCAAACAGATTCCGTTTCCCCACCCCAGAGCAGCAGAGGTCTCTGGAGTCCTGTTCCCAGCTCATTTCCAGCTTAAATCTTCCCACTTTATAAAAAATCGTATGCCAGACCAGAAGGAGGCCGCTGGTTCATGGATCCCCTGCCAGGGGATGGTGTGGGGGAAGCTGCCGTATTTGGTGGCCTTTTTCATGTCCCCGAACTGTCCCTCTCTTCTGCTGGAAACAAGGGGATGGCTCAGAGAACGACAGAAGATGGGAAATTCAATCCTGACTCTCTTTTGGGATACCTACCCACAAGTCACTGCATTGGGGATCTTAAGTCGCCTGTGGATGTCCTCCTGCTTTCGCAGTTGGTGAAAAAGTCAGTAACGAGGAACTGGAAAAAGTCCCTTTTCTTGAGAAGTGATCCCCGCATGGCCACCCTTGTTACCAGCTCAGACCTTGGGCAGGTGCCACCTGCTGGTTTCCATGTTCTGTGTGATGTGGTCACTGATGAGTGTCTCCGTGCTCAAGGCTTCAGCCAGGCCCCACTGACTAGGACTCCTCAGCTAATTTGGGGGTAGGGAGGTTGCTATCCCCACCCTTACCTCCTTACCCTGGCTGTTTACCAGCCTTCACAAGGCCCTTGTAAGAATTAGAAAAAGGCACCCTTTTTCCTCTTCTAGGATGCGCCCCTGCCCCTGCCACACTGTGAGGGGAATGCAGGAACTGAGCTTCAACCCCATCCACCCCCTCAGCCTGCTGCTTCTGTGCCTTGCATGCATCACCCAGCCAGATGCAACAGTCATGTTTCTTATCTGGAAATGTTTTCTTTGTGGAAGTGTCCCCTTAGCTGGGCCTGATGCCATCTCTGGTCCATCATGTAACGCATGATGGACTGATGAATCATAGTTTCCTAAAAGGTTCCCTGATGCCTTGCAAAGGAAGGATATTTAAGCAAAAGTGTATTTTTCTGGCCAGTTGTTCCCTGAGCCTCAGAAGATGATGGGTTCCTGAGTCAGTGATGCTCTTGAACAGGTTGGTGGATTTGCTTTCCCTTTCTCAATTGAAGTGATGCTGGCCTGCATCCAAATTACAGCCTCCTAGACGCATTCAGCCCCAACCCGGCTTCTAGCATAGGATCTACTGTTGGTGGGTTTTCTACTCTCTCTCTTACCCCCAAAATAGTTACTGAGATGTCTTTCAGTCATCACTGCCTGTCTTGGAATAAGAGAAGGCCTCACCTGTTCTCCTGGGTTAAGTCAAAGCTGGGGGCTAGCAGTTACTGTTTTCTAAGAATTCCTCGCACACATTCCCCCTCAAAGCAAGACACCCCGTGGCCATATTTACTTTCAGTGAGTGGATGAGGGAGGCCCATCCTGTGCCCCACACCACAGGCTCCATGGGAAGCTTAGCCACAAGCAAGGATGTTTTGTGCTGTCCAGCTTTCTCCTAGCTGCTCATACCCTGTGGGGGTACAAAGAGAATCCATCAGATGCAAGTCATCAGCCTGATCATTACAGAACTATCATTTTTAGCGCTACACATTAGAAGCAGTTAATGACCACAGACATATGACCCCACCTAACCAGTCCGTGGATGCCAGTGGCAAAGACCAAGAAATGCCTCCAGTGTCCTAAGCTGTGTAAATGCAAGGTCATTACCATTACCATAATTCCGGAGGGGGCTGCCCACAGTCCATTCTTCTATGTCATTTCCCATATCTGGCCCATTTTGTTCTGAGCATTTCTTGCAGAGACTTTTAGTGTCCTACAGGAACTAAAGGGTCATTTTAGTTCCTACATGATCACCCCACTGTCAGGAACTTATCCAGGCCCCCAAAATAGTGACAAGGATGACTCTGTGCCCTCCCTAGTCAGTGCCATCCACAGCTCAGGTTCACAGGATCTGCCCCCACAAACCTTGTATTCAAATCAAGTCCGGAGCCTGTGCTCAGGGTCCTTTTTTCGTGGGACAGTGGGCTTTAAGACTGCTGTGGGGCTCAAAGGAACTACAGGAAGAGAAGAGGCTGGTTGGCTATAGATTCTAGCAAATCCAAAATGGCCATCAAAGACCCGTGCTGGTAGGCAGCTGTTTGTATCTGGGGGCGGGGAAGACTCTTGTTAATTCAAAGCCCAGAAAGTGGAAGCTGCGAATCTTGAATTAACAAAGTATGGCTTATCTGATATTTTTATTAATGAATAGGAGGGTATCTACATGCTCCAAAAGATACAGATTTTTAAATAAACTAATATCAGATGAAGCGAGTCTGGTGTGG